TCCGAACTCAATCCGTGGATGAAAGCTAGTAATCCTTGTAACGACGGTACTTCAACAGCACCTGAGCCATCAACACTAGCAGCTGCCTTGGAAAATGCCTTCAAGGAAACCACTGCGAATCGGAACAGACCGCCACCGCACCCCTTCGTTGTAGCGGAGGAAGCTCTGCGCCGCCTTGTGGGGACACAGACTAGTCAGACCATTGTAGTTTCAGGGCAGAGTGGAGCAGGAAAGACCGAAACGAGCAAGCAGCTAATGCTCTTTCTAACTCACGTATCCACATCTCCTAATGACACACTGGCGGGCGCTTCTGGCAGTGCAACAGGTTCTCACGGCGATTCAGGCGCGCCGAAGACTGTATCCGGCCAGCGGACGGAGGTTGCAGCACTTCTTGGAGGTGTACAGACGCTACAAGAAGCAACAGAGCTACAGAAAAGGATCGTTTCCTGCAATGCTATTTTTGAGTCCTTCGGAAACGCTGCCACAAGAAGGAATCACAACAGCAGCCGAATCGGTCGACTCACGCTTCTCCACTTTGACGGCGGAGGTCTTCTCAGGGGTGGGAGTTTGAGAACATATTTGCTGGAAGCCTCCCGCATCACCGCACACAAGAGAGGCGACAGGAACTTCCATGTCTTCTATCAGCTTTTGAGAGGTAAACACCGGCCGAGGACCCCCAAGATTTTTTCGCAGCTTTGAACCTGATTGCAAGTGGGATGCATTGCTGTTTCGTCGCATTGAGGGTGAACAGTCTGTGTGTGGTTTTCAGAATACCTTGTGGTTGCGTGTGGTGCGTCGTCCTTCTATTTTAGGGGCCAGCGAAGAAGTACTCAAATGCATGGGTCTGACAGATGACGAAACCGCCTACCGCATGCTACGGCCACAAGATTCCACAAAGTTCCTTCAGAAAGTGTTCTCAAAAGAACGGCAATCCGTTCATGGGGAAGAGCTTACAGAGGACCGAAACGTAGCGCTGAAAGAAGCGGATCGAGTGAGGTGACTGTGCGCCCTGTTTGCTTTGTTTGGGAAAACATTGCAAAAATAGCTCGTAACCATATACACGGCAGAGTTGCAGAAGTTACTAGTATTTATTTCCGTCAGCTACTTTGTTCCCTCGGTATTTAGCACCAACGTGCTTGGTTTATGCGTTCATGCGTTACAGCGCAACTTCAAGTCCATGGTCGAGGCACTGGAACGTGCCGATTTCTCGACTGCCGAAGTCGATGAACTGTTGCAGATTCTCGCTGGACTGCTTCATCTGTCAAATGTCTCCTTCACAACAGGGGAAGATGACAGTCTGCAGCTTCAGGACACAGCAGCGGAAGAGGCCCTTAACCGCTCCGCGTCGTTGCTGGGCTTGGAAGGGAAAGGGCTCGAGGAAGTGTTGCGGTGCCGTCGAATCGTTCTGAAAGGAGACATTCTTTGCACTAAGAGAAATGAGCAACAATGCAGCAGTGCCTGCACTTCGCTTATCAAGTTCATCTACAGCCGTCTGTTTGACCACATTGTGCAAAGACTGAATGATAGTGCTGCACGGCACGTGCAAGGGCAGCAAACGGCGACGCTGCCAAACGCTCGCGATAGTATGAAGTCCATTGGAAGTAAGCCGCTTCTGCAAAAGGGAGTGGATCGCCACTTACAGCCCCACTCCATCAGACGAAGTAGCAAACGCCCTCCGCTATCTCCCCACTGCTTTCTCTCCAGCGTTAGTGGAAACATTCGACAAAACTGTCGCATGAGCCTTGTGTTCACTGCTCACCTAACAACATGCCCCTAAAACGCCTCCCCTCCAAAACTAGAATCTGCAGTGGCGTGTGTTTCTTTTTCGTCCGCTTCAGTCCTTGATATCTACGGGTTTGAGTCATTTGGGCTGGAGAACGGGCTCGAGCAGCTCTGCATCAACTATGCGAATGAACGGCAGCAACAGCTGTTCGTTCAGCAAGTGATAGAGGAAGAGGTGGCTCTGTACACTAGAGAAGGAGTGACAAGCCCGGCGGTGACAGCACGAAACAAGTTGGCGCACCGCCGCCAAAATGTAGAACACGAAACGGAACAACAACCATCAGGCGAAAGAATGAAACCACAGGGATCTTTCAGGGCAGACCTTGAGCTCAGCCTCCTCTCCAGTCTGCCAGACACCCCCGCACT